CTAGCTCCCTGACTGTGTACATATACTTGAGCAGGTGCTGCAGCTGCTCTCCAAATTCTAGATACTTCCAAACAAACTTTACTTTTCTGTGCAGCTTGTTTTAGTTGCACTCATTTTTCTTCATGATAAATCATGCCTTGATAAAATAAGCTCCCCAAGGTTCATGCTTGTGCCAGCCTCTTTGTCTAATGAGGCCCGAGGAGGGAGAGATACCGTAAACCCTAGTAGTTGTTTTAAGTGGAGTTATTGGTAGAGCTGAATCAGCTTAATTTCAGTTATTGATGTGGGTTTGTCACATCCTCAGCTCCTGAAATAGATGAAGCCGCAGCAATGCAGCTGGCAGAAATGGGTTTTCCTCTCGAGGCCTGCAGAAAGGCTGTCTACTATACCGGCAACATGGGCCCAGAGATGGCGTTTAACTGGATCATAGCCCATATGGAAGAGCCTGGTAACCAAACACGCCAACACTATGACAAACTAGACAAGATGCTCAAGTTTTTTGTTTTGTTTTTTTTGTTGTTTTTTTTTTCACCTAATTATTTCATTTTTAAAGATGCATTGTGTAACTTTTCTGGTGCAGGGTCCATGAGATGTTTTTCTCCACGAAGATGTTATTGCTTTGTCAGGAATGTTTCACAGTATGGTATGAAACCTTCATGAAGACAAAACCAGACAAAGTTACAGGTCTGATCTGTGGAGAGGGAACTGCCCTCACAGTCAGAATGCCTGTTTTTCCACATATTTTTGAGCTATAAAACCATAAATTAATAAATGTAAGGTAGAGTGATTTAATGTAATATTGTGGAACATTCCAGGCAGAGCAATGGCAAATCTTTAAATCATGCATTTGCTTTCTTTTGGCATCTCCATTTAGACCTGCCATGATAATTTCTCTATAAACTTCAGGCACTAAATGATATCAGGAACTATATTTTTTCAATATTTATGTATTTATTTATTCATTCATTTATTTAACATTTGAACATTTGAGAGGTAGAGGGTAAACTGATAATGACTTAATTTCAGCAATAACTAATAGTTAAAATGTTTCATTGCTATTTATGTGCTACAGCTCATGTTTTTAACTTTATTGTGCATTTAGAATGGGTTTGACTGAGATTATCATGCATTATGAATGTGGCATAAAGCTGTTTGAACATTATTGTTTATCATTTTCTGTAGAAATATATCTCACTTCAAAATGTTGTTATCATGACGGGCATATATTATTTTTCAAGACACTACAGTGCAGTAATTTATATTCTAAATATTACTCCATTATTATCCATGCTTGGGAGTTGCAAGAAGAGTACAATGGCTTGAGACTGTTGGTGATTTAAGACAACATAGAAGCATTCCCTGTCCTTTGTAACATATTTCGCAAATATTTATACATGTTTATACACATCGGTTAAATCCCTAGACATCATGTGCTGTGGAGTTGTTCCCCTGAGGGCTTTTTGTATCACTTTTCCTCTTGCCTCAGAGTAAAGTGCCTCTAAACTGAAGGAAAATTAGAACAGCTCCCTGCCTGTTTCAAAGTGCGTCTCACATCTGTAAAATGGGTTGCATTCAGTTTTGATGGCACAGAGAATACGATTGTCATTATGTACTCATTTTGTTGAGTCACTGGGAGTCAAAAACCATTGCCCTCTTGGTGCTTGTCCCTAACACATATGAATGATGAACAGATATGTGTTTATATTTAGAATAACTTTTTAATATTCCTTGTATTTTTATCATGAAATAGTCTATATTGCACCTTTTTAATCTATGTTGTAATGTTGTTTCCTCATCAAAAACATACCTGGAGTTGTGTTTTGTTTCATTCACACATGTTTAACACACAAACAATGTATATTTAGGCTGAAAACACTCCACCTCCACGTTGTGATGTCATGTGGTAATACAAGAAGTGCTCGACTGTGTTTTTAAACTTCATACACCTTCACTAGGATCATTTGGATGATTTGAGCCCTGGATATAGACAGACTAATAATAAAGGATTAAAACATGTGTGAATGAAACAAAACACATCTCCGGATATGTTTCTGATGAGGTAACAACAGTATAACATGGCTTAAAACTCACAAGAGTCAATTTCAAAGTGTTTTCTGCATAGTTCTGAAATATTTTGTACTGGTTTCTTTATTGATTTCACATTGTGGGATTCTCTTTAGACTTTGCAGAGCCGCTGACTTTACCCTCCATGATGGACCCGGGACCCTCCACTAGTGATAGTCCCATGGGGGCCACACCTCTGGACAACTCTCCTCCTGAAGAGAGCATCTCCATCCTCACATCTATGGGCTTCCCTCGCGCACACAGCATCCGGGCACTCAAAAACACGGTCAGCTTTTATTCATTGCACTTTGTACCCTGTATGAGCTTAAACAATATTATGAGCTTGAGGTTGTCTGTTTTTATTATACAAACTGTGTAGGGAGTAAAGTAATAAAAAAAAAAAAAAACTAATAGATACAAAAAAAACTATAGTAGATATTTAAGTAGCTAGTGAAATCACATAAATAGGATAAAACAGGACTATTCCTGAATTGTCTTGATCTTGAATGATTTTGACCTACAAGAACTAGACAGAAAAAAATGCATTAATTACATTAATTAAATACATAAAAGAGGGGTTTTAACTATCTCCTTATTAAAGATATTGAAATCAGGATTGAGTCTTGAGCATTTGAAATTTTATCATATATTAGTAGGGGGTTTACTGTAAAGTACAATAAAATTAATTAAAGCCTTTAACTGGATTATTTATGGTAAGATTTTGACTTGGCTAGTGACCATTTTCTAGTCACACATAGAGAGCCATGGTGGGTTAGGGTTAGGGTTCATCTGAAACCATACCTGGCTGCCCTACTTGAATGCTTTCCAGATTTGCAAATGTTACAGGTCCCATGTGTCAGAGAGATAAATGAAAAATGTCTGCCCAAATAGACGCTGTTTACAAATAGTCCCTACAGTGCACAGACACCTTTGCTGATGTGAAGAAGTAACTCAAATGGAAAGAAAAATAAAGCCATTTTAGCAAACTCAGTCCCACAAACTGCTGTGAACATCTTGCTTTATAATCTGTTCATCTAGCTATTTTAAAATGGCTTCACTTTCTCACATGTCTTGTTTCATCTTTCCACCTGCCCCTCTGTATAAATAGCAGCTGGACCGTTAGTAAGACTTCAAAATAGACTTCCTTGTTTATCTCCGATCTCCCTGCCAACCGTGATATTGTTAGACTCAAAAAAATGAACACACATATTTCTCATGAGGGGGGAGAAGGCGTGAAGCACACAGGGGTCTCGAGGCCAGTTTATTTTTGGACCAAAATTAGCAGGAGGAACTTTTCAACCTCACTGACCTGACATGAAGAGACAGCAACTCATGGATTCATTCAGACCAGTCTCCACAAATCACACCTCTATTTTTGTATCAGAAGAAAAAATTCCCCAGGGAAAATATGGCACATTACCTCTAATATGAATCTTATTTATTTATTTATTTATTTCAGCAAATCACTGTTTTAATATAGAGAAGTTTCCTCTGGGATTTACTTCATGGGGTTTATATATATTTTTTATAGAAATGAGCATTGATCATGTTTGAGTTTTCTTAGTGTTTTTCAATGTAATTAATTAATTATTATTATTGTTGGTCTGATTACAATGCAAAATCGACTTTTACGGACTCTTTACCTCATCAATAGTCTAATCAAAGGTTGTATTTCTATTCATGCATGTTTGGGTAATCCTGGCATTTAATTGTTGAGTGGTCAGAAAATTTCTGTTCTCACTTATCCACTATTCCCGCCCACTTCTCTGTACTTTCTTGTGATTATTAAAAAAAAAATCTATCTCAGTTCAGTAGTTTTAGACAGGAAGTCAATGGAGTCATTTTTATTTTATTTTATTTATTTGTATGTCTCCATATGTTACAGTGAAATATAATGTACCTGACTGGTTGCATTATATATATTATCTTAATAATATATGAAAACATTTTGATGATTCTTCATTTAACCACAGTGCTCCTCTGTCTCTCAAGCTCGTCTGCCTATATTGTTTCTGAGTGGTGAATTATATTTTATGATTATCTTTCAGAACAATAACCTTGAGCGAGCACTCGACTGGATATTCACCCACCCCGAGGAGGAGGAGAGTGACGCCCTCTCAGACATGGTTGACACAGAGCCCAATGACAACGCCTTCTCCAACGCCAACTCCCACAGCGACTCCACACTGTCCCCAGACAGAGACACAGCAGGCCCCCGGGTCAAAGATGGACCAGGACGTGAGTTTAAGATTTTACTGTTAATGTCTATCAATTTAGTTCAGAGAGAAAATTGTGTTTAAAAGTTTGTTTTGGATCCACTGCATGTGCAATCCACCGGATTTTCTTATTTATGAATGTTTACTACATCCATAATGAGTTACAAATGAGTGAACATTGTACAAATACAGATTGTTGTGTCAGGAAATGCTGTAGAGTAAATGTCATTATTAATAGGGCTGCCACGACTAATCAACTAATCGTGATTAGTCGACTACAGAAAATAATCATTGCCATATTTTGATCATCTTAATCATAACCTAGCCTTAGACTCTAAAACACATCCGAAAAGACCTTTTTAAGACAAAAACAGTGGCATTATTCAATCAAAATATCAGGAGTTAGAATTGTCATCAAAAATATGCTTTTCAGCCTTCAGTCACCATAATCTTTAGGTTGATATTATATTTAAAAGGTCTAAATTTACAAGAGATATATAATTGTTTAACTAATCGAAAAATGAATCGCTGACTGGTTGACTACTAAATAAATATTAGTTACAGCCCCAATTGTTAAAACCTGTTGGGAATTTACATGTATTTTTGTTATATTTTTAAGGTTATGAGCTCTTTGCCTTCATCAGTCACATGGGAGCATCTACAATGTCAGGGCATTATATTTGTCACATCAAAAAAGAAGGAAGGTGAGTAACGTACTAATACATAATAGTAATACACATGTACTTTGTTTTTGATCATGTGCACTCAGTGTATTTTGTTCTTTTAGGTGGGTTATTTACAATGACCACAAAGTGTGTTTGTCAGAAAGGCCTCCAAAAGACTTGGGTTACATCTACTTTTACCGTCGACTGTCGAGCAGTTAAAGAACCACAGTCTCTGAGACTGGTACACGACTGTAGCAGTGGAAGCAATGTACAAAAGAAATTTCAGACAACCAGCTCCTCTTGATGTCATTCAGGAAAACAACAAAACTAATAAGAAAGGGAAAGCTTCTTGTGCATTTGTGTTTGCTTTATATGTACATTTCAGTTTTTCGTGTATGTTAAAGTATAGAGGGACATGTGCAATTAATGCTGCTGGAAAACACAAACCGCATATCAAAACCCATGCCTTGAGCTACTCTGCCCAGATTTTTATGATATTTTTTGTAAATTCACCCTAAAATGCTTACTGCCAGCCCTCAAATGTTAAAAAGAATGCTGCTTGTGGCTAGTATTTGAAGCTACATTTTGAAGAATGTCCTGTACAGACACATTGGTGTGTTTGGACACCGGAGAACAAACCATATGAAAGTTTTGTCTGAATGAGAGCATCAGGCATCCATAAATAGTTGTTAAATATACCGCTGTAGAGTATACAGTATTACTGCCTGATGAATGGCTCTGACCTGCCCCACTTTCAGCTGGTTATGACGCAAGTAACTTAAGATTTATTTAGAGTCAAGTTATTCTTTAATGCAGACCTTTGTCAGCCACAGGAGCTGACAACAGGCAGATCCGTCACATACAAACAAAGCACTTCAGCTGGAATAATAACACACTTTGTACCTGACTAGACTGGAGACTGGAGTCACCTGTTGTAAACATATGAATGAATGTGGATCTGAAACCTCATTGTTCCTTAAACTGGACACATGCTACATTTAAAGTGAAAAACATGCTTACCTTGTACAAACCAGCTACAACGCTTTAAAAGTGGATAGTGTAACTTTTCTGGTGGAGGGTATGCTGCATTTTTTTCTTTATAAAGATGTTATTACTTTGCTTGGTATGATGCAGTATGGCATCATCGTAGCAGTAAGTCTAGAGTTGATTTTATTGTTCAGAAATACCTTTAAGAACATGCATTCTTGTGTGTGCCGGCCAGCTCCTACACCGAACTGGTCTGTACCTTGGCCTGCTTGTCTCCATCGAGATAGCTACATTTAATGCCTTACTGTGAAACATTCCAGGCTAAATAGTTAAGTACATCTACTAGAACATGGAGATATCATGTGGTGTACCCTTTCCAAGAAAAGTTACGCAGTGCACCTTTAATATAACAGTTTGCAGCCGTTCACTGGTTGCCTTCTCTTATGCACTTCAAGTTTTCAAGATAATATGCACAGTAGGCAAGTTGACCTAATATAGCGCACTTTTAAACATTTTAGTTATATGAAACTGCACAACTATCTTTATGTATACCAGATAAATAAAATGATGCTGTGTTGAATGTATTCAGAATAAGGTGCTCCCTGCAACTTAAACCTCCCTCTTATCTTCAATACTCAACATTATAATATTACAGTATAACCTCATCGCTAACTCTGTATGTTATATTTTGCCATGTACTCCTCTGCATTATCATTATCGTCAAAAGCATCATAAGATTTGAATTCTTCTTATATAGAAACACTGTGGATCATCTCTCATAATTATTACCAGCTACAGTTCAGAGCCTATGCAGTGCGGAGGTGTTAACATATCTCTATGCAAGTTTTGTGTTTCAGCTGTTCTTCCAATTCAGTCATTTTTACTCAGAAACCAAATGTCTATTGTTTGGCACCTCAAAACTAAATATGTTTTTTGTTGTAACTGGATATTGATATAAGCTGTTGTCTTGTTTAGCAGTGTATTGTCATGATCTGTAACTGTGCAATGTTTCTTGCTTCTCAGCACCTTTATTTCTCTATTCTCAGTTAACATCTTTCCTGCTTTCCCACTTGCTTCATCTACAATCACTTTCAGCTGTTGTTAAAATTGCCAGGCCTTTCACTGTTGGCATGTGCACTAAACCTGCATTTAGACATTTCGATTGTACAATTGTACCATTTGAGTTTTTCTCCTTTTCAATTGACTAAATGTCAAGAAGGTTCTTTATCAGTTTTTACTCTGTTGCCTTTTTGAAAACAAGTTTGTGCCATTTTAGTTTTTAAGACCTACAATGGATTATTTAAGTTGATTTTTGTAAAGTACATGATTATCCAGGTGTGTCAGTGTCTGTGAATAGGGTCATGATGTGTAATCTATGGCACTGTTTACTTACTCTGTTTGGATAAATAAAAACACTTTTGTTGGGATTGCACAGCTTCATTTACACCAGTGTTTCACAAACTGTGGGTATAAGCTGCCTCTAATGATAACCAGGGCCCTCTTTGGTTTAAAGGTGCACTATGTAACTTTTTGGTTGGGGTTCCGTCAACTGCTTGTTTTTATGGATGTCACTGCTTTGCTTTGAATGTTCCACAGTGACATTAAACAGCACTACCTTACATTTATTTAATTACAGGCTGTTTTATTGCTTAAAAATACCTAGAAAAACAGACATTCTAACTGTGAGTGGGGTTGCCTCTCCACAGATCTGACTTGTAACATGGTCTGGTTTGGTCTCCATGATGATAGAAAGGTTTTATACCATACTGTGAAACATTTCAGACAAAGCAATAACATCTCCACAGAGAAAAGCATTTGATGGGCCCTCACAATGTACCTTTTGTGTTTGTCTTAATTGGGTTAATTCTTATTTAGAACTACTTTATTCATGGTTGAGTCTAATTTAAGATCACATTTAGCCCTATTTGAGACCTGATCAAGTCTGGGTTTAGATCTGGTGATACCCAGAAAGCAATATAAAGCAGTACTTGAGTGTAATTTACACTGAACACCAGGGCAGAGAATAGAAACAAGAATTTATTTGAAAAGAGTACTTTCATTATGTGGATTTAAAGGTGCTAATGCTTCCATTGTGATTACATACAGTATATAATGTTTTTCAATAAATATTTGGTCATATATAAAGGGTATCATTTGCCAAAATATTGTTATACATAAAATCCATTGACAAGCTAGAACAAACTGCCTCTGTGAAAACAAGATGTACATGTACCGACTGATCTAAAAATATGCTTAATAAAGTCTTTCAGTGGTTCAAAGAATGACAAAAAAAAAAATCTCAGACATGCCATGAAAATTCATTTTTAGCTTATTTCATTTTTAAAAACCAAAGTACAGATGAGTTTTGATTTGATGAGAAGTAACGTAATCCTAATTTGAAGAGTTATAGGCAGAATATATATTATTTAACCAATACACTGTGGTTAAAAGTCAACAAGTAAGTTCCACTTAAAAAAAAACAAAAAAAAAAACATTGTGTAATTCAGTTTATATGTCTCAAAAAGCATGTCATTTTTATGTTAGGAGAAAAATAAAGCACTTTCATGTATTGCGTGCATACAACTCAAAATTGCATTCAAAAATAAATGTATAGATCTATCATGCAGTCCTTCCTTTTGGAGCATGCGTTTCACAAAGTCAGTTCACCTGAGAAGGTAATGCAGTATTTTCAGAAACATCATCCTTACCAACCATGTCTCAGTGAGTCAAAGTTTACACCATTTTAAAGGTTTCTTTAAAAAATATCGCTATAACATTATACAGATTTTTTTTTTTTTTTAAATCACCAAATACCCATTGTTGCATAATGAAAAATACAACTGATCTGCAAAAAGGAAAAAAAAAAAAACATAACATAAAACTAATTAACAATAAATAATAATAAAACAACTCAGTCATGTAATCATCAGCATAATATGGCCATCTTCCCAACTGGATCAGCAAATAAAGTTTTGCTGTGGGATGTGCAGCTGTGGCAAACATTTTCTCTGTCTTATATTCAGATGTGTGCTTCATTTCTAAAAGTATTTTGTAAAGTATCTACAGATTTACAAGTATCATCCCCACCATTAGTTTTAACATATTAATTTGATTTGATTTTTTATTTATTATTAATGATAACAGTTTTGCTAAACTGCTATCCAGAATTACACAATTAACTGAAACAAAAACTGAAAGTTCTGTTTGAGTTTTTTTTATTTTATTTTATTTGAAAAAGCACACTTGCTTTTGCTCTTCCAGTTTCTGAATGAAACATTTTCATACAGAGCACAGCATCAGAGCTGAGCAGTTAGGAAGATGAATGGCTCTGGAGCCAGCCTCTGGTTTCCCCTGATAGCATTCTTTCACAGCTCTGAAAAAACACTTCCATTTGGACCGCTGAGGCAGACAGGCGCACACAGACTATTCAGGGTGGCAACAGAAAACATGACCTTTGCATAGGTTTGGAGAGAAAGCCTAGTTACAGTGCTCACTCAGAGAGAGTGCAGCCTGTTCAGAGCTGAGGTGCAGGGCCATAGAGTTGAGATGATCCTTCATACTCTGTTGCAGAGTGAGGAACTGTCCGTTTACATACAGCAAGAACTAAAAGCTCTGTGTTCCTGCAGTGCTGCAGAGTCCAATATATGTAGTTATAGAAAACTAAATTTCACAATCATAGATAAGTATTCATGATGTTTGATGACTGAGGCTAGCAGATTTAATTAAGCGAACGAGCTCTTGTTGCCAGTGGCTGTTTTGCAAAGATACAAATTACTACATTATCCTAGACAGCAAGCTGCTTCCTTGGCTTGCAGCTATACATCACCTACCTGCTGTTGTCTATTGCAAAACTGCACTACAATTTACACAGCTGTGAATATTAATATAAGTAGGATAGTGGATGTCCTTCTACTGGTTATGGACTGGCCTATGGTTAACTGCCAAACCATCTTTATAAAGGGAGCAAAAGAGCCATCAAGGCAAGTTTTTAAAATATCCACAAAAAGCAAATTTAACCCTTTAGAAAGTTCACAAACAGGCAGCAGTTTTGAAGTACCCGGAGCATTGCCAATGGCTTTTTGTGTTGCCACAAAAACAGTACAACTTAAATTTTCATCAGATGCATTTTGTAAGGCTGAAAACCAGGCTGCTCATTCCATTTGGGAATGACAAATGATCTTTGTGCAAAGTGCAAAAAGAAAGTATCAGGACCATTTTATGGAAATGCAGTGGGTGTAGCAGTTTGTTCAAAATAAAACTGTTTTAACAGGATTAGAGCTCCAGATCTAAAGTTATGTTTCACTGTGGTTGATGACTAAAACCACTCCCCAGAGTGCAGACAGTTGTGAGTGTTTAAAAATCAAGTCTGTTAAAGGCTTTACTCAGCGACCACTTCATAAACAGTGGGGTTTGTCCACAGAAATGACCTGTCTGCCTCTGTTCCACCGGATGAGTGGGTTTAATTCATGTGTTCTCTAAGGCATTGCTCATACAATCTGTGCCCGTCCTTGTGCTCTTCAGGGGAATTGCAATTTGCAGTGCAAATTGATCATAATGTAGCCAGCGAAAAAACTTGGAAGAACCCGTCGTTGACATACAATTCCGACAGTATTAAATACTTAAGTGCAAAAACTCACTGCCAGGAAACTGGTCCACTCTTCTCTGAAGGGTGCACTTTGGACTTTTGGCTATTGGTGTACAGTTAAAATATGTTCACCAGCTTTCTCTCATCTTAAATGTCTAAGTTAAATGCTCGCATGAGGAGGTCCAGGTCCCCGATGTTAGCAGCCTGGAACAGTTCGGGCTGGTCCATCATGGACAGAGCTATCCTCAAAGCAGCCCAGATGTTCCCTGACATCACCTGGTGGGACTGCTGCAGACTCCGACTCTTCCTTTGAAGGCTTAAGGCAGTTAGAAAGTTACTGGCCGCCTCTCTGGGAAAATAAAACAAACATTACACTTTTATTGCAGCCATTTTGTAAAAATACAATATAATAACAAAAAACACAAAAGAAGCCAAGCCAATATCTTAAATTTAACCATAAATTATATCCACTGACCATAAGCAGTGAGAACTGGTGTCGTGCTTCATTTAGGCCTAATTAACCAAATGGAATTGTAATCCATTTTTACATCTACTCTGAATGGGTAATAGTCAAAGAGCTCACCTGTGCGCTCCCAGGTTGATGCAGCTGATGCCCAGGTTGTATCGGGACCGGATGAAGCCTGGCTGCAGCTCCAGGGCACGAGTGTAGGCCTCCACTGCCTCCTCACTCCGGTCTCCGTTGGCCAATGTGGCCCCAAGGCGGTTCCACAGTAAGTAGTCCTGCCATACAATATTTATTGTAGGAAGAATATTGATGACATATTACAGTGTCATGCATGCATTTTCTGCTATAGTGTTCTAATGTTCAATTATAATTTGGTTACCTGCCCTATTTTTTAGGTAGCACAAGAAGCCTTTATCCTTGGGTCTTAAGAAGAACACATGCACAGTGGCTCTTGTCACAAAGACACACAACACATGAGACTCCAGAGAGGAACCTTCCATCACCTCACAGAAAGGTAAGAGCTAATGATAGGCTTGTAACTGTACTAATTACTTTATACTATTCAACAAACAGTGCAGACACATTTTAATTCCCCTTGTGCAAAGTGAGGGTTATTTAAGGAGAGATGAGTAATATAGGATGTGTCCTTGTCATTATTTCCCACCTGCAGCCAGGGACACACACAGAGGTCATGCTCCACTGCAGTATAGAGGCCTTTTATCTTTGACTAAACCAAGCAGTGGGGTACAATTATCCCCTCTTGTGCTCAGGACTATGTTTTCACCAGGGGGGAAGATATTACCAAGTCAAATGTGAGGGCTGGATCCACCCGTGTCCTGTCGGCCAGGGACAGTGCAGTGAGGACAGACACTGGATTTGCATGAAGGATATAAGTTGTTTTGTGGGTTGAAGATGTTTTGTGTTTTGTACATCACACTTTCTTTGCATGAGCTCTCCCTTGACATTTCCTGTTCTCTCTCTTTTCCTAGTAGAGCACATTAAATCGACATTGCCATGCATCACTTGCAATTGCAATATCTTGGAAATTGGAAAAAGTCAGACAATCCATTACTTTCCATGATACCATATGGTCTGTACAATAAGTTGCTGAGTTTCGAATTTGTTGACCCATTGTACTGTATAATAATAATTAGTATGATGATATTATTTGCTAGTGTGTTCAATGTGTATTTGTAAATTTGATCAGCCATAGCTAGCCATAATCTAAATGAATATCACAATATATATAGATTAGTTCAATAATGAAATCATATTTTTGCAAACTGGTTGAGGTTCATAGTGCACAGGCTTCAGTCCTATAACTTTTTCCTTTCTTATAATAGACAGTATATTCTATATTCTATTTACTCTGTCTGTGTGCCTTTGAAAAAAACATTTCAGTATTATCTTGTAAACTATGTATTTCCCACCTCTACTTTAAATCACTACAAAATCACTTAATAAAATGTATCAAATGTTGTTCTAAGTCTACAGCTTCAATAGCCAAAACTCTCAGAAACGTGCTGTCTGTCAACACCCTTTATCTTCTTGTCCACTGTGTATAAAGTTACCTCTGGCCGCACTGACAGCGCTGTGTTGAAGGCGTCCACTGCTTTGTTGAACTCTCCGCTGAGGTTATAGAGCACCCCAAGGCCAGTCTGCAGGTCTGGGTCGATGCCGTCAGACGTGTGTTGAGCCGCCTCCAGAAACAGCTCCTTCACATCTGGTAACAAGGCGCTGCACACACACACACATATAAGCACACATAAACACAGAAACATATAAGCACACATACGCATGCATGTACACATACACACAGCCAAGTAGGTGACACAAAACTGGCCAAGATTGTCTACATAATATAAGTGTAGAAAACCTGCGGAGTGGTGACCCAAAGTCAGAATTTATGTAGTAATGACGTATTTTAAACAATAAAAAAAAAATTAAGAAATTTTAAAATATAAAAAATCTGAGATAGATTTAGTTTGATTTATGTCATACTATGGAACATTCCATTTCCTTTGCATTTCCATACCACAAAAGTTACATAGAGCACTTAGCAAGCAAATTTTAGATCTATTTGTATTCAACCCCATGTACACTGACTTATGAGTGTAAGTGACCCGCTGTCTTCCTCACCTTTCATGTCGGCCCATGTTGGGGACATGAGACAGCCTTCGATGGGAGTTGGGGGAGCCCAAGTGACTTTTGCCTTTAAGCAGTTGTTTGTATTTGGGATTGTGTCGTAGCCAGCGTAGCAGGGTTTCACAAGCGTCATGACGCATCCCAGTGTTAGTGAGGCTGACGGCCAAGGCCATGAGCGCCGTAAGGTTGTTAGGGTGGAGTTCCAAACACCTTGATGGAGAAAGCACCAATGTAATTCAGAGGAGACATTACATAAGGTTTGCACTTCAAAGTTAATGTGGCTTTGGTCATTAATTTAGACTGAAGCAAAGGAACATGAGGGAGAGGATAATGATTAGAGGCTCAGGGTGGATGAGAGCTCAGTCGGCTGCAGCCAAGTTTTAGACTGTATTTGCATTAGTTAAATTTGTTAGTGGTAGGACCAAACAAAACATAAATTTTTTCAAGTCTGCAATAGTCTCAATGTATAGCTTGAATAATTGACAGATGATCAGTGGTGGAAGATAATGAAGTACAAGTAGTGAAGTACTGTACTTAAGTAGAATTTTTAGGTAATTACACTTTACTTAAGCACATTTTGCAGTGGATAATTTTTACTTTTACTTCACTACATTTGCAGGTAAGCTTGTTTCTACTTCTACAAAAAGTACTTCTACTGAAAAGTAAACATTTCATATGATTTTAGGGGTTATTTTCACCATGCTACAAGAATCATCTACATTTTAAACAAATTAATCACACCTGAAATACGCAAAATACTTTTACTTTTTACTCTTTAAGTGCATTTTTAAATGGATACTTAAATATGTTCACTTAAGCAGATTTTCTCAAGTGATACTTTTTACTTTACAATGTTACTTAAGAAACAAAACTGAGTACTTCATCCACCATTGCAGATGATTTTGGGTACAGATAAGTGCAGATGCCTTCTGGTATAGACTAATACTTGAGCTACATAATATTGGATTCTGGCTCAAGATCTGGGGCTGGGTCTCTGCTGCTGACAGGTTTCTCAGAGGCACTGTTTGAAGGATTACATGAAAAGAACAAATTTCCCACTGAGACAAAGTTCTAAGACTAATTATCCACTCATGTGACTCAATTGTCACTTTTTTGAATACTTTTGAATTTAGATATCATATTGTTAAGTAACTAAATCGACTTTTTAAAATTGTACCCAAAAGACGTTTTTTGAAAGGTGAATAGAATGAATTTTTAACTTTTCAGACGTCAGTGTTTCGTCAAGTCTCACACCTGATGATAGGTGTAATTTGTGCCTTCACTGTCTTGAAAGTGGGCCACCCCTGACTGTGCATCGCTCATAACCTGTCTGGGACTGGACATTGGTCTGTCAGATAAAGTTCACATTTCACTTTTTGAAAAAAAAAAGTTTTGTTTTTTATTTTACATGTATCCATTTGATCACTACTGGAACTGCAATTCTTAATTCTTAATTTACACAAGAAAAGTTTAATCTTTTCACAAAGACTTACAAGCTGTTAGACGATAGATCTATTATGCATATATTCATCACACGTGCACATTTTACATTAGTCAGTTTAGAACTAGTCCACTGTTTGCCCACCTTTGGAGAGAGACAATTGCTGCCTGCTCGTTCTCATTCTCAGCCTGGGTGGTGCCCAGCACTTGCCAAGCCTGCAGAAGAACAGAGGATGCCATGATCTCAGGGGAAGGTGTTGGTAAAGATTTGATTAAATTCAATGTAATTCACATAAAAATGCAGTATTATGTTTATTATTTGGACCATATCTACTGTAAAATCACAATGTTCTGTGTAAAATGCTGTGTTTGAAATAAGGGACAGAATTATTTATAAACTATTCAGAGGTCTTTGCAGTCGGGCAATAAGCCACTAAGCACCAAGAAGGAATTTGTGAATCATATTAGTTCCATACACCGCGGGATAATCCTCTCCTTGGAATAACTGGCACATTTCTGTATATTCCAAGGGATTCGAAGTACTTTGTATGAAGGCTTTGCTCTTTCAGCCTGCAAAGAGGTCAGTCCTTTGAGAAGGCACATACACGCACAGTAACCTGCCAAATGTCATATTATTCAGCTCACTGGCCGAACGGAAATGCTCATCAAAACGCTGAACAAGTTTGTAGTTTCCAAAAGCAAGCATTTTTCTTGGTGTGCAAACCATTTGTGTGGCTGCTGTGGACTGATTGTGGGTGCAGACCTCTGAGTTTGATCATTATCCCTCTTAACAGGAGGGTGAAGAAGTGATGCTCTGTTTGACATATCATTTTATTGACAAAACCAGCTTCTTTTAGTCTGACCTTTTCTCTACTTGAACTAACAAACTTCAGTAAGGCAAATGACTTGCCTAATATATAAGTGTAGACATAGAGTTAAATGAGTGTATTCACCTCTGAGTCATGAGGATCTTGCAGCACCGCTGCCTCCAGCAGGAGGACTGCGTTTTGTAAGTCTCCTTCTCGAGACTTCTTTTGGCCCTCCTCAAAGGCGTTGGGCATGTCCTTATAAGGATTATCTGTATGGAAGTAGTACCCCTGTCAGCAGAAACAGAACAATGTCAGTGTGTCTCCTCCACATTCAAAGAAGGAGTCCTGAGCTGCAGGGACAGAGCAAAGCTCCAGCGGCAGGAACTCATCCTTTCTGATGAACTTCAAAAAAGTCCCCTGTGAAGAGATAGTCCGTTCTTTGGAAATGTTCACTCTGATTATCCTTGTGTGGTATTGCAGCATCAGAGCACCAAGAAGAAAAAGAGATGTTTTTCTTAGAGTGGAGATCAGAAAATATTTATAAATATATTGCTATAGGAAAGACTGGGCATGCAGAACAAAAACATATATCATGTTGATGAACTACTCCCAAAAAGCTTTAAAATTAAAGTGAAACATTTGGCTGGACCTGGATTGGCCCTGTTTTGCGATAGTACAGCTCTAGCACCCAGAGCTAAACTGAGCAGTTTTCTTTTGGGATAGAAATCCAATCAATAGAACATCTTGCAAGAGAAATTGTATTTTTGTGTTGTACTGAGGGCCCTCACCACCAGCTAAATAGTTGACCAGAGGTAAAATACTACCTACAACGGAAGCATACTCGGACTGGAGTGGATTAGATTGGAATAGACAACACTATCACAGTGTCATGAGGGTTCACATCCCTGGGTGCTGGGTCCCATACTGTGTCATGCCTCTCTCAGGCTACTACAATTTATTCAACAACACACCTATATCTACCAATTTAAAAAACTTTTCAGAGATGGAAAAAAGTAAGGAAAATCACTATTCACTTGATGATAATTACAATGGTGATGGTGAAGGCTGCATTTTGAATTCATTTTCCTGCTGTGAGTCCATGATTGACAGGTGTGCACTGACCTTCTCGTGTGGAGACACAGAGGACGGGATCTGCGTCTGCTCATTCTCTGTTAGCCAGTTCCGCCGTGCTAGCTCCTCCCACTCAGCCTGCATCTTATCCCAAAACTCTGTGTCCGACTGTACCACATACAAACACAGTGAGAGAAACAACTGTTAAAATGCATATGAGAGGTTATGCATTTTAATTTAGCTTAAATGTACTTAACATAATGATATTTACAAGTTTTTAATTTCACTTTCTGTTGTTTGTATGGTACATAGGCCAAACCTTTCCTAATTTATACATTAGTTAATAGTTAATAATAAAAGTTATTATTAAATATATATATACATGACCACACAGTAATAAAAAAAAAAAAAAAAAAAAAAAATGGGTAAACTATTTTTTTTATTAACTTTTCTTGACGGGTGTGACAAACTGGAATTAATATATAACACAAGTTTTATCCCACGAAAAATAAAGCCCTATTTAGGTACTGATAAGAATGCATGGTGAGTGACTGATGGCAGTCATGTGTACTGTTTCTACTCTTGAACATATATTTCCCAATAAACCTTTACTGGTGTTAATTAAAGTAATCCTGGTATCTCTGTAATGCGGATATCACATGTGGCAGTGTGAAGTCTAAGATAAGACCTTCACCTTTTCATGAGCTTGACATTTCAGAGGCTATTTGCTGGCATTTCAATTAACTGACAGATTCTTTGAAGGTTATTATGGATGGATCAACCAAATATGCCTCTCTATCTTCTGCAATAACTTTTCATCTTATGTTTGGCAATATTAGTTTATATATTTTTATTCCAGTTCTTTCTCTTTTTTTTTTCTTAAGGAGTGTCTGCCACCTGCTTGTCTCCATTGAGAAGTTATTTCTTTGCTTGCAGTGATTCACAGTATGGGATTAACCTCTATCTATTTTCAAGTAGACCAGGCCAAATTGCAGGTCAGATCTGTGGAAAGGCAACCCCCGCTCACATCCCAGGCAATGCATCTTTAACATTTTTAAAATAAAAATGAAATTCCACCAGCATGCCCACGCGCCTTATGGGCTGTTGACAGAGTGTAATGTGCTTGGTGGAAGGGAAAGGGGTCAGAAATAAAAAGATACTTGTACTGATACTTTGCAGTGGACGTCATCAACAACTTTGTGTGTGAAACTATCTGTAGGCACTGCTCTGTCTGAAACTGAACATTACAGTCACAAGATAGCTAGCATCAGTCAACAGTTCTGCCAGACAGTTAGAAAGTTAGACTTCCACCTTTTTGTTGAAAATCAAACAGCTAAACAGGACCATGAATGCTCTTATTGAACACAGGCTCCAGAAAATGTGCTGTTAAAACCCATTTTGTATTTTTATCTTGATTTTCAGGCTATTTTATAACTATTCTACATGTGCGTTTTGTGACCTGCTGATCAGCGTGACCCCTGTGGCTTTTTAAATTGGCTTAGACTTTGAAATATTTTGGATAATACTGACATGAGGTTTATGGCAGTATTTTTCATCCAAAATTATCTTGCAATATCAAAATGTGTAAGGTTACTCAACCTGCACCTATGTATTACATTTGGTTTGTCCCAAGTTGTCCATAAATGGGCTGAGTCTTCTTGTCTAACACTGCACACTTAATTGCACTTATGCTGTTTGAACAACTGCCACCATTGAAATGGCGCAATTCCATTTCCAAATGACAAAATATGTAGACAGATGTATTCCCTTGTAACACTTCAAAGGGTGTTGTTTGGTTTACACAGAGTGGCACTTTAATTATGTGGGATGAGGCAAAGAAGCACAGCTCATTTGAATCCAGTGTAAGATTAGCGAGGAGCCGGAGCTGTGAGCCTAATTTCTACACCTCTGACGAAGTGTTACGTGAAGTGGAAAGGAGCAGAGAGTCTCAGCTGTCAGGCAAACAGTGAGAATGGGGTGCGAGCAGCAAATTTTTGAGGGAATATTTACAACGTGGATTATCACAACAACACCTAGTCTTCTAAGCTGTCACATTTTCTGGTGCACCGCTGCTCCACTTGTACACAACATAATCACAATTTGCCTTACATTATTGGTTTTTCTGGATTGTGCCAAACTGAAATGAAGGATTTATATGATTAATTTGGGATTATGTACAACAATAACAGAATACATTTATTTGAAAACTGAAGAAAAAAACAGAGGTGCTGTGTAATATTAAAGATGAGTTTGGCAGCATATTATTCCACTGGGCTCTTTCAATACTCAACTGATTACTCAACTAATTAGTAATCTTGAAACTGGCAGCTTGGACTCCAAACATATGCAAAGATTAAATATGGGGATAAAGTACAACAACTGATGCTAAATAAAGAAATATACTGCATTTTGTGATTATATTGATTAAAATCATATTCTCAAAGATGCAGTGCGTTATATTTTTGATGGAGGGTCTGCCGCCCAATCCAGAGAGGTCTTTGCTCTGCCTGTAATGTTCTACAGGTGACACCACATGGCCAAGTATTTGTTAAATGTCGTACTAAGGCCATATTGTCAAACACCCTAGGCAAAACCATAGCATCTTCATGTAGACAACCTGTAATATTTAAAGATCCTATATTACATAAAAGTGACTCTTGAGATTCAGGGAAATGTAAGGCATGTTATAATGTTGTTTCCTAATAAAAAAAACATACCTGGAGTTGTGTTGTTTCATTCACATGTTTGAGTTACCCTTTATTAATATTCTGTCTATAGCTCCAAAGCTTAAATGCTCTGTTCAGTAGAGATTGGCAAATCCTAGGCTGAAATCATCCAATGATTCTAGTGAAGGTGTGTAGAGTTTAAAAACACAGTGGAGCAATTCCTGTATTACCACATGACATCACAAGTTGAATAGAGTATTTTCTGTTTGAAAGAAGAACTCTAAATATGCTGGTTTCTTTGTTAAACGTGTGTGAATGAAACAAAACTCCAGGTATTTTCTTGATGAGGAAACAACATTATAACATAGACCAAAAACGCATGATATGGGCCATTTAAATATTATCTTCTGCGACAAATACAATAGAAATAGAAAGTCCAATGACATTTTTTAACCTCCCTAAATGTTTGATTATGATGTGACTGTAAGCACATGTACAGGAGCTAACTTATCCACTTAGCCTGGAAGTCTTAAATTACCAGTCTCCTTATTTACCAGTGACACAGATCGAGCTCATGACAAACTCTTGACTCATGTGGAGAGCAGGGCTGTCCTGGCCTTTAATGTTAATGAACCTCCCACTGTTGTGCTGCGTAGGCCACTTCCGCGGTCACTCAGACTAAAATAGGCCAGAGTCAAGCTGAAACTGATAAAATGCTAAACAGATGCCCACTGCAATAAATTACCCTTTATGATGCTGTCAAGAATGCGCCCAGCTATAATAATGCTCGTATTCTTGTGCGATTACAAGAACAAGCAAACACTGGTTAATTTATGACAATGACTTCATGTTCTTAATTAATTTAGACTCAAGTGGGCCCTATAGTAAAGTTTTATTTAGACAGTTGCACAGTGGTTATAGAGATTAGCGAATTTACTTTTTAAATAGAGATACTCTTCTTCATAATTATATCTAAAGAATGGAACCATTATTTTTATTTTGGTACCTGTAAGAAACTGGAATTCAATGTGTATTTTGCAGACATGCGCAGTAACTCATGACTCGACTTGAGGTTCAAACAAGCGGACCTGGACTACAACTCGGACTTGAGAACCAAGGACTCGGACCTGACTAGTTTCAACTCTCAAGTCCTTGACATTGCTGATATGATAAATAAACACATTTTTTAAATTAAAGTTTTAAAATCCAAACGACAGGTTCATTTGGTGGGATTGTACCTGTAAATATTTAGTTTGTGGCAGTTTGTGAAGAACTGTTGAACCAAAATGTAAAAAAATAAAAAATAAAAAAAATTTGAAAATACAGGAAGTAGCATTTTTCTGTGAAATTTGCAGTTTAACTTGACATATGTACTTTAAGGCCAAAGTTATTTTAAAGTTATGATAATTTACAGTAGTGAACACAGTTCATAGAAGAAAACTCTTCTTCAATGGACTGGAATTGTGACTAAATATATATCACAATAATAATAATACAATGTGACTGCACTTCAACACTGTTATTCTGTTACTCTTAAATATAGGCTAACATCACAAGTTCATTTGCAAGTTCATTTGATATCCTAAAAACTGAAATCTAAATTTAAACCCATACAATAGAAGAACATTTTATTACCTTGATATCAGTGTAACCTTTGGGCAACAAAATGGTGCTCCAACATCCAGCGAATCCTCAGACCAATATTCTTTACTGCCACTGAGGGACTGATTTTGTGCGACTCGCTGCAAAAACACTGCTTCTCCAATCCACATTATTACCCCTTAACTGTCCCAGTGGTCCTTTGCTTAATAACATTTTGACTGTCACTGGCCAAGAGTAATTGATGTTCTTCTACTCATTTGTTGTAGACACTATACACTGACTATACCCATAAATCCAGCAGACTATCCATCTTGCACTCTGTGGAGACATCGCAGAGTCTGAGCAATGAGGACTTTGTGGAAACAGTTACATTTAAAGTGCCTATATTACTCTATTTTCTGACCTATGTTATAATGTTGTTTCCTCATCACAAACGTACCTGAAGTTGTGTTTTGTTTCATTCATTCATGTTAATTCACACAAACTCTACATGTTTGTTTTTTCTCTTAAACTTAAAAGACTCCACCTTGTGATGTCAAGTGGTAATACCAGAAATACTCCACTGTGTTTTTAAACTCCATACACCTTCACTAGACTCATTTGGATCATTTCAGCCCTGGAATTTTCCATCTTTACTTAACTAAAGGTAAAAGGTAGATGCTAACTTGAAAACTAAAGCTTCATGACATCACAATGTGGAATAGAGCATTTTGAACTTTGGAGATGCACACAGATTAATACTTAAAGGATTAAAGGATTACTCAAAAATATGTGAATGAAATGAAGCACAACTCTAAGTATGTTTTTCAGGAGGTAACAACATTGTAACATGATTCAAATCTCACAAGAGTCCATTTTGTGTAATGTGGGCCCTTTAAACTCTTTTCCTGACATCTCTGTGTCACATTTGTCTAGATTTGCCTGACTGTGAGAAAGGCTAGGTGCTAATTATATTCTTTGTACTATTTCTGCCACCATTTTGCTCCTTAAGTATGGAGGTGTATGCATATGCACAGCTCCTATAATGGATCTGATCTTGTTGTGAGATGTGACATTAGAACTAATTCAGTCGATCCGTGCATTAGGACTATGGTTTATTCTAAAAATGTATTCACTGATCATGATCATGTAACATCATGTAACATCTGTATAACTGTCAAAGACCCATACTTCTGTCTAGTCTGCTACAATTCTTCTCTTGCTCCCTTTAATTATTTATGGACTGTTACAAAGCTCAATATTTTAGGGCTAAAAAAAGAGATGAGAAAAGAGTACCACAGTAAAGTCTGGAGCAGAACAGAAGCTTCAAACGCACTATGTTTTCTATTGTTTGGTCAGTGTAATTAACTTTTCACACTGTGTTCATTTTGCGAATTTGTAATCACCAATTTCCAAAAACAAAAAAAAAACCAAATGGTAATTTCTTCTGCAATAATGGCCTTTCCTCTGTTGGTGTAGAGATCCTTACAACAGGTTAGTGCCTAGCTAACACATGACCATTAGAAATATTTCACAACTCAACACATGTTGATAAAGAAAGCCATATCCAGTTACAGTGGGTGCCTTCTCCTCTGATATTTGATATGTCTGCCAGTGGTGGCCTACTGTCCCTTTGTAATCTGGTGGAAAGTCTTAAGCACTATTTTTCTAGGTCAACCTCACTGTGAACTTCAGTGTGCTTGTAGGACATATTTATAGTGTCAGGTAGCACCAAAGATTGAGCACTGCAAAAAGTCATTAACATTTAAAAGTAAAACAAAAGAGACACCAATGCTTAAACCACTGCTTAACGATTGTGCCTATGTCAGACGATCATTCAAATTCTGGTCTAATAGCTCAGTATTTTGAGCTGTCCTCATTCATACTCTTACTTGGTTTCAGGTGACACCTGGCCACAGTGCGCATGCACAGATGATGGATGTGAGGCACACTAAGCAGCACTTTGCTTACCTCAACCGCAGCCTTGGCTCTCTCAAACTCCTCCTCCAGGGACTGGTGTCTGGACAGGAGGGCGCTGCCCCAGCGCTGCTCCTTAGTGAGGCGAGCCTGTCAAACAGGCACAGTTCATATATGCACAAACATGAGTATAAACAGATAACAGACAAATGTTCTGAGGACACATAAGTGCCACATGACATTAGCCACATACAGCCCGCAGAGGGAGGGAGGGACAGGCAGGAGAGCTGCAGGGTCAGCTGTCTCTGCTTTCTCAGTAAATATCCTCCATTCACAAAGCCCTGACATGCTTTGGAAACTCAATAGATTCACCACTATCAGCAGCTAGCTTCCCTTTAGCCTAGCCCTCATCCAAACGCCATGCTGCACATCCTCCACTCATCCCGTGCACCTGCACATGCAAAATCAGGCTCCCACATAAAAGACTAACACACCTTCCATGTGTATGTGTCTATAATGGTGAGTCAGAACAGACACGTGCTGGTGTTTGGTGATTGTGAATAGCACCTGCATAGTAACTGTGAGGGGTAAATGGTTCAAATGACCACTGCTCGGATGTGATTGGACATAGGACTTATAGTAATGGTATACGTATCCCAGGGCAAGCAAAACCATTATAGAGAATGAGCAATCCACTGCTTCTGTGTTGAGTCAGTGACTTCCTCCTGTGAGGCTGCTCAGCATATGAAGGCCAGCTATTATTCCCATCTTCACAGCGTGCCATTATGAAGGATTAATTGAGGTTACCTAATCTCGCTATTAATGGGCCCAGGAAATGTATTTCACTTTTTTTTGGTAATTTTAGAAAATCATATACTGTCAGCTTATACTGAGATCAGTTGTCATGGACATTATGGTGGTATTGCCTTACATTTTACTATATATCTACAAACTTCCTCCTATATGTGCAGGGACCTTGCTATCACTCAGGAAACCAAATCCACTCTTTTCAGTGTCTGTGTCCGTGAACCATGTAGTAAATCTTTAGTGAAACAAAATGCCTGTTTGTTTGCCAATAACTTGCTTTCATCCTGGACAGCCATGTTTAATTCTGAATCTATTATTTATATGAGGGCTGAAAAGGTGATGTATGCTTAGCCGGCCTGGTGGGATCAACACTAATGGGCTCAGAGTAAAGCTGCTGAATAATTCACAGCCTATTAATCTAATAATGGCATCAGGAAACAAGACCCCTAATGCAGATCTACACAGAGACATCAACTGGAAAGGAAAGCACTTGACATTTGGACCTCTGAGCACCACAAAGAAGCAGTCAACAGGTGCAAACAGTTCTCGTATTATCTATTTTGGTTTTCAGTAATTTGAATATGAATGAATAAAGAAGATTGAGATGTGATGCTACTTTTCTGGTGCAAATGTAGAAGTCTTTCAATATAATACTGTATGGAAGGATGCATATTGAGAGGCTTACATGTCGTCCACTAATATACTGTCTGTTGAGCTGAAATGGAAGAATTAAACTTGTTAGAACAAAGTGATAGCTCAGTGGCATTTAACGTATATACACACTACTTTGTTTTTAAAAGAATTGCATCAGAGACCATGAAATTAAAATAGTAATTTCAATGTTTTTAAATAATGATGCAGTTATCTAATATGGGTGTGAGTGAATGGGATTCTTCTATTTGTTTAGCAAAATATTTCAGTTATCTCTCAAATATTAAGGCTTCTTGATGTGTATAAAATGCAAAAAGCAAATTTATATATATATATAAAAAAAACAGAATCTTCATTTTAAAGGTCCCATATTACACAGAATTGACTCTTATGAGCTTTGAGTCATGTTATAATACAGTTACCTCCTCAAAAACATACCTGAAGTTGTGGTATGTTTCATTCACACATGTTTGAGTAATGTCTGCGTGCTCTGTTCCACCTTGTGATGTCAAGAAGCGGTAGTTTCCAAGTTAAAAGCTATCTTTAATCTTTAGTTTAGCAGAGATCGGAAATTCCAGGGCTGAAATTATCCAAATGATTATTGAACCGACACCTTATCATGGTAGAGGGGTTTGAGTGTCCGAATGACCCTGGGAGATATGTTGTCGGGGGCTTCGTGCCCCTGGTAGGGTCACCCAAGGCAAACAGGTCCTGGGGGACGGGTCAGACGAAAAATGTTTCAGAAGCCCTTTATGAAGATGTCCACTCAGAGGCCAGTTACGTCGCCCGGAATGGCATCACCGGGGCCCCACCCTGGAGCCAGGTATGGGGTGGGCGCACAAAGGCAAGCGCCTGGTGGCCCTCCTCCACGGGGCCCAACCGGGTACAGCCCAAACGAGTGATGGGAGGAGCCATAAGGGGCCGGTGCTGAGAGATCTGGGCAGCAGTCTAAGGCGGGGACCGCGACGACCAGATCTCCGGGTAGGGAGACTAGCTCTGGGGACATGGAATTTCACTTCGCTGGGAGCGAAGGAGCCGGAGTTTGTGCGGGAGGTTGAGCACTACTGACTAGACATAGTCGGCCTCACCTCCACGCAGAGCTTGGGCTCTGGAACCCAACTCCTTGAGAGGGACTGGACTCTCTGTTTCTCTGGCGTTGGCCGCGGGGAGCAGCGGCCAACACCGCCTGTCCCTGACCCTGAGGGACAGGTCTCTCACTGTGGTGTTGACCTACGGGCCAAACAGCAGTGCAGAATACCCGGCCTTCTTGGAGTCCCTGGGAGGGGTACTAGACAGTGTACAGACCGGGGACTCTGTTGTTCTACTCGGGTACTTCAACGCCCATGTGGGCTACAACAGTGTTACTCGGAGAGGCATGGTTGAGAGGAACAGCCTCCCTGATCTGAACCCGAGCGGTGTTCTGTTATTGGACTTCTCTGCTAGTCACAGTTTGTCTATAATGAACACCATGTTCGAGAACAAGGGTGTTCATCAGTGCACGTGGCACCAGGACGCTCTAGGCCGGAGGTCGATGATTGATTTTGTAGTCGTGTCATCTGACTTCCAGATGCATGTCTTGGGTGAAGAGAGGGGCTGAGCTCTCAACTGATCACCACCTGGTTGTGAGTTGGGTTCGCTGGCGGAGGAGGAAGCCGGAAAGACCTGGCAGGTCCAAGCGTGTAGTGAGGGTCTGTTGGGAACGTCTGGCAGATCCTCTGTCAGAGGAACTTTCAACTCGCACCTCCGGGAGGGTTTCTGCCGGATTCCAGAGGAGATTGAGTACATGGAGTTTGAGTGGGCTTCGTTCTCAGCCTCTCTTGTCGATGCTTTGCTAAGGGCTGTCCGGTCCCTGTATGACCGGAGCAGGAGCTGTGTTCGCATTTCCGGCAGTATGTCAGATGCATGCCAATGCATGTTGGACTCCGCCAGGGCTGCCCTTTGTCACCGGTTCTGTTCATTGTTTTTATGGACAGAATTTCTAGGCACAGTCAGGGGCCACAGGGGGTCTGATTCGGGGACCACAGGATCTCATTTCTTCTATTTGTGTTGTTGTCCTGTTGACTTCATTAAACCAGGACCTGCAATGTGCACTGGGGCGGTTTGCAGCCGAGAGTGGAGCGGCTGGAATGAGGATCAGCTCTTCCAAGTCTGAGGCCATGGTTCTCGACCGGAAAAAGGTGGTTTGCCCTCTCTGGGTGAGTGGAGAGTCCCTGCCTCAAGTGGAGGAGTTCAAGTATCTCAGGGTCTTGTTCACGAGTGAGGGGAGAATGGAACGTGAGATTGACAGGCGGATCGGTGCAGTGTTGGCAGTGATGAGGTCGCTGTATCGGACCGTTGTGGTGAAGAGGGATTTACCGGTCAGTCTTCGTTCCTACCCTCACCTATGGTCATGAGCTCTGGGTAATGACCGAAAGGACAAGATCACGGATACAAGTGGCCAAATTTAGATTCCTACGCAGGGTGGCTGGGTGGCCAAAATGAGTTTCCTCCGCAGGGTGGCTGGGCGCTCCCTTAGAGATAGAGTGAGGAGCTCACTCACGCGGGAGTAGCTCGGAGTAGAGTCGTTGCTCCTCCATGTCGAGAGGAGCCAGCTGAGCTGGCTCGGGCATCTGTTCTGGATGCCTCCTGGGCACCTTCCTCCAGAAGTGTTCCAGACATGTCCCACCGGGAGGAGGCCTCGGGGAAGACCTAGGACACGCTGGAGGGACTATGTCACTGGGCTGTCCTGGGAATGCTTCGGGGTCTCCCAGGAGGAGCTGGAGGACGTGTCTGGGGTGAAGGAAGTCTGGGAGTCCCTGCTTAGGCTGCTGCCCCCACGACCCATCTTAAATATGCAGGGTTTGTGTATTAAACATGTATGAACGACCCAAAACACAAGTATATTTGAAGGAAACAACATAGTGACATACACAGAAACATAGAAACATAGAAAATAGTGTAATATGGGCTCTATATATTGCTAATCTAATCACAACTGGAATGAACCACAAATGCAACTCATTACAAACTTGCTGAATACTTACTTGACTTGCAAGGGCAGAATCCGCATCTGCTTTGGTATTTAACTCCAGTGCATTTTTATTCAGTGGTTCGATCTGATTTTTGCACTCTATGGACCTATATAAGAAATCATAGTTTGCAGTGTTAAAATTACAGTTCTTTTTAACCTTGTGTAGCTTGAGGAACAAACTTACCACAGAAACTCATTGGAGGCATTTTTCGAAGAACGCCGTCTCTCCAGCTTCCACTTCTTGTTGCCATTTCTTTCCACATTTGGGTTAAGCTCCTCCCATTTGTCGAGCTGTGACCCAATGGTAACTAATAAAAAAAACAACAAAAAGTTTTTAGTATGACCTTACTTGGCTTATGCATGTTGTAATTGTATTTTAAGCAATTTATGATTCATTTGTGTTTGAATTGCATTATACTAATTTGCAAAACTCATTTCAATGTGCAATTCCAATCAATGCTAAAGTAATCATTTTGTACTTTGCTTTTTAAAGTCTCATTTTAATCTCTTTGTACAAAACAGTAAGAAAAGCCAGTGGGTACTAAATGATCTGGCCCCCTTTTTGCAACTCATTCATCACAGTACTATGAATTATTCATGTTATCTTTGGTCTGACTGTGCATACTTTGTTATCATTGAAGACTTTAACCTTTTCAACTTGCTAATACAATCATAATTAACAGTTAAATAATCTTCATACTGTTTTTGTATTAGCTAAGACAATGACAGACCTATTTGTACATGTACCGGGTCATTCCTGCAGGGGATGATGGGAATCGTAGTTGTTAGAGCCTCGGGGAGCACAAGCAGGGAGATTAATGGTAGTGAGCTTTAATGCCCTGTACATGATTTTTTTCCCATGTATTTGAGCAACATATTTTGTAATATTTTGCAAGCAGCTCTTCCAGTCAAAATAAGTCTGATACTAGCTGTCTGCATCTAATTAGAAAGCATTTTATTTTCAGGAAGTGTGTGTTAGCATGCTGGTTGTTGTTAGCTTTACAGTCAGAGCACAGCGCTGCTCTACTCCTCTTTGTTGTGAAATAACTTTTGGACCACTGCATACTTCTGTTCTTTACGTTTTGAAATGGCAAAAATCTAGTACAGCTCCTATAAGTGTGAACAATAAGGACAGTGTGTGTTTGAACCTGAGTCTAACGACGCCCTCTCTGGAGTCCGCGCGTCGACCGCTGTCTGCTCCACCTCCACCTGGATGAGCTCGGTCTCGTCGGTTATCTTTCTGTGTGAGTTTTTTTTGTGACTGTTGCTACGGGAGACCAGTGGAATCTTCTTGTCTTTGCTCTGCCTTCGCTCGACAGGTTCACTGAGATCCAAGAGGTCCAGACTAGAGGACAAAACTGTACGAGAGAGACAAGTCATTAACTCTTTCAGAGAAAAAATATGTGTTGTTCCTTTGGCTATAATTGTACAGACTGTGGCAAAAATGTATCTATATCCATGGAGAATGTTCCATTATGTTGATAAGTATAATTTAAACTTTCTATTTTCTAGGAATCATGCAGGTGCTGTGCCACCTCTGGAAGTTACTGTGTCTTTAAAGGTGCACTGCATAACAATTTTTGTGGAGGGTCTGCCACCTGCTTATCTCCATGGAAATGTCTAGAATGTTCCACGGTATAGATTAAACCTATCTTTTACAAGGGAGAGACACAGGTTACTACAATACAGTTCAGATCTGTGGAGAGGCATCCCTACTCACAGAAGGAATTAATGTATTTTTGAGCAATAGAAACTAGGGGTGTCAAATTATAGCGTTAATTGCGATTAATTAATTACAGTCATATTTAGCGCGTTATGTTTTTTAATCACGTTAATCTCATTTTTAATCTCTAACTTTAGTGTTTCTGTATGTGAGTTTCTTTATTATAAAACCTGTTTTATGTTGTTGGGACAACAACACACACACACAAAACACATTCATACATTTTTTATTTCGGTAATTCCACTCATTGCCGGAAAGCCACACAAAACACGCGCAGTAAGAGCGATGTAAACGTCATGTTAACGTTGGCGGCATCAGTCGCACAATGGACGAGGTCGAAGAGCCAGTAGAACAGAGGCAGCAGTGCACAGGTAAAAACACATTCGTGTCTTGGAAATTATTCTCCCGACGTGAAATATAAAAGAAAATAACAAATATAATATCGCCTGAAAACAACCTGCATAGGCTCATGATCTCTGCACTACTGTCCTATAGTGACCTGCCACATGAGGGGACACGCACACAAACACACACAAACACACACACAAACAAACACACACCTTCATCATCGTCATTACCCTGAGAACGCGCGGACCACGTTTCCTTCCGTGGTTACTGCGCGGACACCGACGTGCTCCCATGAGCCGCGTGTGGATCGTGTTTTCTCGCGTACGCGGCGTCAACCGCGCTTCCTCCTGTGCGCCTCTAAACCAGAACTAACACCAAGACTAAAACCAGGACTAAACCAGGACTAAACCAGAACTAAAACCAGAACTAAAACCAGGTCTAAACCAGGTCTAAACCAGGACTAAACCAGGACTAAAACCAGAACTAAAACCAGAACTAAAACCAGGACTAAACCAGGACTAAACCAGGTCTAAACCAGGTCTAAACCAGGACTAAACCAGGACTAACACCAGGACTAACACCAGGACTAAACCAGGTCTAAACCAGGACTAAACCAGAACTAACACCAGGACTAAAACCAGTGATCTCATATATATTTCTCTATCAATAATATTTTTAATATGGTTAAGGAAAGACTGGACTTTTTATTGTCTTTAAGTACACAAAAGTTATTATGTTCAGATTTCCTCGTCTTTGCTACTTTACAACAGTTTCTTATTCATGGAGACTTGGGCTCAACAGCCAAATTGGAGAGATTTGTTAAACAATAAATGACTTTATAAAGTCACTTTTTTAAATCTATATTAGGCTTTTGATCTGCCACAATAATGTAATAATGAATTTAAATGAAAATACCTCAAATTGAAGGCTTTTCTCAACAATTTTTAGGTGAGATTAAAATGAGATTAATTAGATTAATTAATTACAGATCATAATTAATTAATCTCTCAATTTTTTTAATCGCATGACAGCACTAATAGAAACACACTTAATGAGTAAATGCTATATGGATATGTTTAATGTACCATGAAACATTCCAGGCAACGCAATAACATCTCTATGGAGACAAGCAGGTGACGGACCCTCCACCAGAAAAGTTTCGCAGTGCACGTTTAAAGCTAATTTGATATTAACTGCCAAATTAAAACACTGTAGTCTATTTTTGTATAAACCTTTTGGAATATAGATTGAACTGAAATCCTTAATTTTGCACCTAAAATTATCACAATGATTTTTTTTCTCAGTGTGTTAGCTTTGTGGTTTCAACTGAGTCAGCAATTTGTGTTACTGCCAGCTGTGAGGTGCCATTGTTTCCTGTCACTCTATGATGCATTTTCTCATTTTGCTGCAATATTACAGGCAACTCTAATTAATATATGCACAACCTAGACTAAACCCGCTAAGGAAGAATTCATTATAAGTTGGAATTTAGCTCAGTCACAAATGAACAAAAAACACACTTAAAGATACTTTTTCTAAACCAGATTTTTTCTTGGTCCCTCACTGTGTTTTTGTGAGCTTCAAACTAGTGAATGACTGCATAATTGGCACGCCGCTGTTTCATGACAACCAACCGGGAGCATTTGTTGACTCAAATCTCAGAGTAATTAGAGGGTGCGCTTGCTTTCCCTGCCTGGTGCTCTTTAGATGACAGGCACAATTACAAATCAAGGATGCACACTCTTGGGGAGGTGCCTGAAGAGTTTTAGCATAGAAAAGTATTGAAGCAGGTTCAACATAAAAGGTAAATGATGTTGAGTTGTTCAGTGCCCTTGACTCTTGTGATGGAGATAATAACTTGTGTTTCAGAGGAGAAAAGTTTGGCCATGAGAAGTTACTCAGTTAAACTTTATTTTATACATAATACTACTATTTTTTCCACAAAAGTCCTTAGCAGTGCTTAGCTGAATTTAAGAGCATAACAAGAGAGCACTGCACAATGTCAGCATTACTCTATAACTCTGTGGGAAAACTAACACATTTTATAATACATAGTTTGGGAGAATTCTCAAAATCAGTCCTACATTTTGCCTAAAAATATTGTCGAAGGTTATTAACATTATCAGGCAATCCCCCCAAAATTGAAAGCTATATATACTTGCTTTTACAATTTCTTTTCAGATATTTTAAAAGAGCTGCAAAAAACAGTTGTGTCATGTGATCGTGATTCAGAGAGATTGCCTTAAATGTCAAGTCTAAAACAAACTGCCGATTTACTTATATCCTAGCAATTCATGTATGTATGTAATGTATAGGCAACTAAAATTGTACCGTATAATGTTATTGAAAATAGTTTAAAACAGGTTTAAAGCGAAGGTGATCCCCAAGACAACTTATCACAATAATGTACACTTTTTATGGATTCTGACTGGGCTGCTTGAGAGAGAAAAGTGCCCCGACATCCCAAGTGCACTGAGAAACGCTGACAATGAAAAACAAAGACTTTGAAGCCAATTGGATGCAGTTGCAGAGAAGAGAGACCCGATAATGAGGCTGAATCTACATCACTATGTTGCATGGGGAAGCCTGGTTGCTATGTTTATGTAATGGGCTTTTTTGAAGTCCTTTTCCCAGCCCCCCAAAAGCGTGACACTTAAAAGGAGTAGATCAGCTAGAGGAGTAATTAATGCATGTGTAAGAGTGTATGTTGGGGCCCATAACATGTTTTATGCCTTCTCTGAGCTGAGGTTTCATTTCATACTATTGATTTTCTTGTTAATTCCATCTCAGTGCAAATCTGTCAATCATATCTCATCCCCATGTGATAATATGGGCAGAATCATTCATGCAGGGAAGCACTTCAATCTATCTCCATGGAAACAAGCACGTGCCATACCAGGCCATGTTATGGCTCAGATCTGTAGAGAGGCGACTACACTCACAGTAAAATGCATGTCTCATCATGTCCCATTTGCTCCCCTTTTTTCCTAATTGTTTTATTTTTAAATCATGCAAATACCTATGTGGACTGTGATTTTGTACCTTCGCTTTGGATTTATTAAATCTGCTTTAAACTTCTTCCTGACTCTGAATCTATTTTGGAGCCACTGATTGTACAAACCTGACATAAGAATGTGTTTTTCAAGATATTTTTGAGTAATAAAACAATAAAACTTGTGTCATAATTGGATATAGTATGTAAGATCAATAAGTGCAATGATATACTGTGGAATATTCCAGTCAAAGCAATAACATCTTCAAAGCATCAAATTCAATACTTTTAATATGGTAAAGTATAATGCATGTATGAAAGTGATTTTCCAAAACATCTCCATGGAGACAAGCAATCAATGCAAACCCTCACCAGAAATGTTTCATCATGCACATTTAAAAGCTTCAAATTCCATAAGTTTTGTTATGGTGAAATATAATGCATGTACAAGAGTGTTTTTCCATTTTGAGGATCCATGAACTTTGTGGAGACAGAAGGCTTCACATTATTGGCCGACACTTTGCCGCCTGAATCAGCACAGTTAGTGTCCAGTTCTGAAGTGATGCATGCCCTCGGTCGCAATCTGTTTCACCAAATCAGCCGAGAAAAGATCATCAACAGCTCATGTGGAAGAGTCAAGATTGAAATGTGTCAGTAGAAATCTTCGTGTTTAAGTTCATATAACAGATTTTTATGATTTTCTAATTGATTTGTTTGGTGATAGCACCTGTGGTATGTATCACAGTACATTAGACAAGCGTTGGTCCATTTTACAGTATGGTTGCTATGGATGTTCAATAAGGAAGTACAATGATAAACTACATTAAATGTGTAAGTGGTTCTTTTAACCTAACCTGGCTCAAACTGGATTAATATGTGAATCACTCTGAATTGAATTCTACACATTTATCGATCTGGAGCAGCTCTTGCTGAAAATGATGGGAGAATGTGTAACGTCATGACTAATATTTTAATCTTTGAATCAAACCACAAGACTATGTCAGTGGATGGATTCTTGTGAGTTTGTGAACTCACAAATATCGCAAGAATCCATCTTGCAGTGCAAGGTTACTTTTAACCATGTTTGATTGAAAATAGCAGGCTAATCTACCACACCCTTTATGTACCTAAAGATGAGAATTGTGGAAAAAACAAGAAACAAATATTTCTTTACCGGCAGTGTTGGAAGTGACGGGGCGGGAGACTCCATCACACTTGGTCTCACAGAGGAAATCATCGATGGAGGGGCTGAGGAGGGGACGGCTCTCTTGTTGCTCACTCACCAGCTGTAAAAAGACAAGACTACTGATAGGTATGGAACAAGATGTGCAGTAATAAGTTGTAACATGTAATTGAAATGGTCCTCAGTCTTATAAGGATTAGTCAAACATCATTTAGTGGGTTATAGTTTCTTAGGCTGAAACACTCAATCTCACTCACTTGTCAAAGGCATGCTTGTGAGGTGAACTGGTTGCTCTTCATTTCTCCTTGTAAATACATGCAAGACCATCGGCCTTTTGTATGTTTATCTTTCCTTCTGGTTTGTCCTCCCTAACTGTGGTCTAACTGCCCAGGTAATGAATGTACCATGAATGTTCCCCACCTAAAAACGTGTGTCTGGGAACAGTGCAATTCAAGAACTGCAACATAAATCTCAAACAAATTAAAATCTCAGTTAGAATGGTCGGAATTAGCAAATCAGAAAGGACAGCAATTATCTCAGCAATGTAATTTCCTCTGCAAACAACAGAATATAATGCCTCATAAATCCTGCTAATCCTGTAGTTCAACAAATGCGTTCTGAAACATGTTATTCTTGTATTAGTTTCTAGTTCATATTTCAGTGTTTTCATAATAGTTAATTCTCTTGGATGTGTTTAAAATTATCCAGAGCCTATAACATAAAAACCACTAATCTGATGGCAGTTTCAATGCTTGTTAGAAAAATCACACTTTGATTTTTATTAACTTGAAGGTGCACTGTGCAACTTGTCTGGTGGAGGGTCCATCACCAGCTTCTCTCTGTGGAGATGTTGCCTGGAATGTTCCACAGTATGGCATTACACTTACTCACTTACTTGTCTATACAGAGACAGCAGGGCCAAGTTAGATGTCAGCTCTGTGGAGAGGTAAGCCCACTCACTTTTTTAAGTCAATTAAACCCCATATTACTGAGAAAACGCAAGATTAATACATGTAATACCATACCGGGACATTCTAGACAAAGCAACAACAGTTACAAAGTGCACCTTTAAATCTTCTCTTAAAACACGCAGAGGATATTGAATGAACACATTTTGCACAATAATTCTCCATCAGTATTTCTTATCTTACTTCCCAATTTGTGTTTATGCTAATCAATTTCCCTCTGATCCATTCATTTGAGCTTGTGCCTGTGCAGTTGCAAAATTGGTTATGTCCAATTAATTACCCATGGCCCGAAGCTTTGACAGTGCAGGTGCAGCTGGTGCTCTCTATGCTTCATCACTGGAAAGCACTAATGTTGTGGGTTAACCCTGCAGCGAACTGGCAAATCTGGCAAAAATAAGCCTGACATTTGCTTTTGCCAGATAGTTTACAAACAGAAGCTAAAGGCTCCATTAGCAGCTATGGTGATCTTAAAAGTATTTACTCAAGTTGTTTAAAGGTACACTATGTAACTTTTTTGGCGGAATATACTTGTAGCGCTGTCATGATAATTACTATCTTGACTTACTTACGTTCTATATAAGATGGAAAATATGTTTTGTGTATACCTTTTCTTTGCTATTTTTTGGAAACACAAAAGGATTTGAGCTGTAGAAGTTTTTTTCTTCAATCACTCAATTGCCACAGTATGGCATTTAACTTATTTTTAATGATATCCTGTGGAACATTCCAGGCAAACCAATGACATTGCCACAGAAACAAGCAGGTGACAGACACCTTTAACAAAATTGACAGACTGGTTAAAGGTCAGATCTGTCAAAATCTCCATGGGCTGATAGATTTATTGGTTATTTAGTGGCTATAATGGTATAGGGATAGTTTTTTTCTTTTATTGGCAAAGGCAAAAAATAAAATAAAAAATACATCACATTACGGACAGAAATGGATAATATTACTTTGAATAAGGGCTCCTCTGCAAAAATGCTGTAATTTGGTAATTTGTTTTCAATTTGCTCATAATAAATAATACAGGTCTGGTTCAATAGTTATAGTGAAACAGTCAGATTTCAGCTTCTGCTCAGCTCATTCCCCATAGACAGCTGTGGCCACTCATTGCATTGCATTCTGGGAAGCTCAGAGTTATTGGCTGATATATAATTAGTCTGTTATACACTTTGTAAATAGTATTATTGGAAACTATAATTGGGCTTTGGCTTCTGGCTTATAGGAGCACATACATTATTTTCATGAAATTACTTTCTATACATGTCATCCTTCAAACTCTAAATATCGACTAATTCTGCAAAGCGAGGATTTAATTTTGTATTGTAATGCGTAAATGAAAGATAAACCAAAGTAACATTTTATGAATTTTGTCAGGTAACTAATATTTGAAGAGGGATGTCTTTTCTGTGTACATTTTGATAGCCCCCATTGACAGACTGGCTAAAGGTCAGATCTGTCAAAATCTCCATGGGCTGAGCTGCATGTTGTTATCGTCTGGTTCATTAAATGTGTTTTGATATCTATCTATCTATCTATCCATCCATATATATATATATATATTTTTTTTTAAATTTTTTTTTTTTTTTTGGCACATCAGTAACCAATGAACAATGCTCTCAGTACTGTAGTACTGTCTTTATTAAAAGTCTTAAAGCCATATTGTACTTGTGTCAGATATAGTTATAATAACTTTGTCACTCATGGCTTGTTATGTTATAATTTTGCACATTACGAAAAGAAACAAGTGTGATGACAACGGCGGTGCCCAATGGGAGGTGATGTTGTCGCAAACGTTATCATAACAAAGAGCTGTGTAGCTTTCGGCACCGCTACAGATAGCTGCAGATAGCTGCAGATCACGCAAACAAGTATCAGATTTTTTTTTTCATTTGTGCAAAAATACCACTATGCTACAAGTTAAGAAAAAAAAAAAAAATTGAAGTACAGGGCAGTGGGCCTATGCCGTTGGCAGTCCAATGAGCACTTAAATAAGTGATTAAAAATTGTTCAAACATGTACTAATCACTCCAAATATTGGGCAAGTAAATGATGAGGGGAAACAAATTTAACATTGTTAAAAGTTAAGTTTACATACTTTGTCAGCTTTAAAATCTGACATAATGCACAAAACGTAATAAGAAGATGGCTCTTTTTCAGTGATAATCATCTCCTAAAGATGCAAGCTGTTCAGGTACACTTTGCTGCTGTTTAATAATGTTAAATCCCATTTAGCGGGACACATTTCTTACACTTACTGTAAACACAGGAGTTGGAGCTTCCCCTGATTGTCACAAGGGCCAATTTTAAATAATGGGTTTGAGAGAAGAAGATGTGCATTTACCACTCATCCAGTAAATGAGGATAAGAGAGCTTCCCACATTCATCAGGGGAAATACACCAGCCACTTTGCTAGATTGCTAACACCAATTACTGGTTCACTATTAGCAGCCCATTATTAGACATAGCCTCTTGACACATTACAATAAAGCGGTCCAGTGATGCACGAATTTTCAACATTTTGCTTGCGCTTGTTTTTGATAATGATCTTTAAAAAAATATCTGCCAATATGTTCACGATCACAGAATTAAGTCATGGAAAATGTTCTGTTAATTGGGTCACTTGGGTCTGACTCATTTTGATGCTGAGGGAATTGAATTTTTAAATATTATATTTGGAGAGCAGAGGATGGGTGTAAGAAAGTGGTAAGAGACGAGGTAAAAAGTAGTTTAATGGAAACCTATCCAACTTCTCTGGTGGAGGTGGATCACCTGCTTGTCTCCATGTCAATGTTATTGCTTTGCATAGAATGTTCCACAGCACGGCATTAAACTTATCTGTCCTGTATTTATTGTTGAATACAGTTGTTTATATTGCTTAAAATACCTACAGAAACATGAACTCTAACTGTGTGTGAGTGGGCTTGCCTCTCCTTAGAACTGACCTGCAAATCGTCCTAGTCGATTGCAGCATCACATCCCTGTGGTTATGAAGATAGATTGTTTAATGCCTTATTATGGAACATTTCAGGCAAAGCAATAACATCGACATGGAGACAAGCAGGTAGTGGAGGCTCTAGAAATGTACATCTTTAAAGAAGAGTCATTTTTAAAAACTGAAAGCATATCTGGCCTCAAATGGCATGTGCTGTATGTATCCAGTTATAGCACTTCTCAAGAGGAAGTGCTATGACTTTCATTGTTTGGTACAGCAGCATCTGTTTTATATTTTCAGAAGTCCTTGTTCTCGTGGGCAGCAGTGACCGTGCTGTAGAACCTGCTCCCACTGGTCTGATCAGCAGCAAGTTTCATGAGTCATGCAAAAGTCCTCAAGTCAAACAATATGAAGACAATGATGAGGACTTTGCTTTAAGTCTATACTGCTTTGAGCTCTAAGATCCATTTTGAACATTATTTTACTCCATTTGTAATATGTCCTTAGACAATGGGAAATTGCCTAGAATTTTTTAACTTTTTAAAAGGCTCATATAGATAACTACAGTGGTGTGACTAAATATCAAAACAATAACAGCTATGATATTGTATTTAACGATCCAGGCATGCAGAATTATGGATGACAAATTAGTATGCAAATCACTGCACAGAAGGAGGCAGATGATTCCTTGTGGCTACCCCAAGAGGGAAAAGCCGAAAGGGAAGGAAAGATAATGCCAGCATGAAACTGATTGAGATATTTAAGTGTCATCTAAGGACACTGCTTTTTTATAATTGTAATGAAATACCCCTGTTCCAGTTTCCCATGATTGCTTGTAGAATTGGAATATATTGTTATTAATAATGTACCTTAGTTTGTCCTTAGACTTAAACCTTGTGCAGTCATCTTTAAGAGCCCTCACCTCCGACTCTGAGCTCCACTGGGACTATATAAGTGAAGGCAAATGGAGTAGAGTGGACTTGACATGTGGCATAAGGAGCCACTGCCTGTCACTTATCCTCTGTCACTAGCTAAGGGACATCGAGCTGGGACCACAGCAACCACGATTGTCTGCAATGTCCGACCAGGAAGTCCCACTACATATGAGAGTTCAGTTTGCAAAGGGTTGGTTATCATCATGGAGAATGGATGTCTTTTTAAAATGTGCACTATGTAACTTTTCTGGTGGAGGGTCCAGCAAAAAAATATGGAGTTTTTTACTTTGTTATGTTCCCTAGTGGCATGAAACTGATCTTGTTTAGCATTCAATGTGGTTTGTTTTGTTCAGTAAGACCCAGAAAAACATACATTCTTGGGTCTCCTCTTCATGGATCTGACCTTCATTATGTCATGGTGGCACTAACTGCTTACCTCCCAGGAGATAAATGTTTTTAAACCATACTGTGGAACATTCCAAGAAAAAAAAAGAAATCTCCATAGGGATATGCAAGTGGTGGACCCTTCAACAGAAAAGTTACATAGTCTACCTTTAATTTACAAACCCCTCCAGTGATTTGAAAAGGAAAGGACTCTTAATGTGAAAGGATGCTGAGAGCTTTCCTCACAATGTGCATGAAATATTCACGTAACACTCACAGAAAACAACATTGACCTGCAGCATCTGCTCATGTCTTCTTCATGTAAACAACAAAGTACCATTAGGAACGGTTGTGAAAATGTTTTGGCTTTATCATCTTTATCATATATTATTTTTCTCTTTGTCTCGCTGTTTCAAAAATCCCTCAGGGAAAGTGTGCCCTTGTGAGTAAGTTTAAAAATAAACAGTAAAACTGAACAAAATGGAAATTATTGCCATGGATCTAAAACATTATTGTGCAATATTCATTAAAAATGTAACATCACTCAGCATGTTCATTGCATTTTAACAATTTAGTACTCTGGAGGCTACAAAGAAAGACTCTAAGGATCACGTTTAGTTTGGCCTTTGGCCTTTTAATGAATTCCTTCACCTTACCTCTTTCTCAGGGTTTAAAGGTAACTGCAGCCTATCCACCAACACTGAATAGACATAGAAATACGCACATTTCTTGGCACATCCATCACAATTTACATTTGATCAATATTAGAGTATGACCAGTGTCTATGGTTAAATCCACCTGTTACTCAAAGAATGCGTAATTAAAGAGTTCCATCCTGATTTAAGGATTTGGTGAGGAACTGTTCATACAGCAAATAAAATACTTTTATTCTCGTTTGTTTGGATTGCGCTATTACCAATTTCTTCTAATCAGCAAGAAATTGGAAAAAGATGTGTTAGAAATAGTGGATGTTTTTTTTTTTTTTTTTATATGCATACAAATCATATTAAAGAATGGCAATATATCCTGATGGGCAGATTATATTAAATTATTGTGCTGCTACATAACACATTATATATTGGTATTAAACATATGTCTGTGGTTTCACCCTTTCACATGTCATCAGGAATGGGTCTGAACCTTCAATAAGGTGAGGCTTGGCTCAGTATGGTCTGGAGTAGGGCTGAACAAGTTTAGAAAAAAAAATGCATATGAAGTATTGTATTTGTGATTAGAGTTGCAATATAATATAATGTTTAAAGGTGCACTGTGTAACTTTTCTAGTGGAGGGTCCGCCACTCATCTCCATGGAGATATTACTATTTTGCCTTGATTATTCTGCAGTGTGAACTTGATAATCACAGTGGAAACTGGTTAATCATCAGATCCATGTAGAAGCAAGCCTGTACATGGTAAGAATACATGTTTTTAAGGTATTTTAAGGGGAGATATATTTAATGCCCTACTGTGGAACATTCAAGGCAAAGAAATAACATCTGCATCCAGACAAACAAGTTACACACTACACCTTTGAGGATTAGTGGATTCTGTTCAAACTGCACATTTTAAACAAATTATAAACAATTAAGAGAAGACTGATCCAAAAATCCTATGAATTTCTGTTCATCCCAGTAGAATTTGAAAAGGTCTAAATTACAGGGAAAACAAAGACTGGATGTTATGTTCCTTACAGATCACACTCTATAATCTAATTACAGTCTGTGTGATTTCACAATTGCAGCAACTCAAATTGCGATTTTGATTCGATTTTGGTATTTTGTGCAGCCCTGGTCTAGAGTGAGCATCTGCTATTTAAGAGTAAAAAGTTCTGGGGAAAGTGCAGAGTCATGCTGCAACTTTCCCCTCTTGTGTGATGAGTGTACAGTGCTGACTCCAACTTCTGTCTGTTCCACATGGCCTGGGACATTATCTAGCAGCTTATCAAACCAAGACACTCAAATAATAAAGGCGTTAGGGCATGCTTTAAAACACATAAACGCTGGCACACAAACAGCAATGCACACTCAATCAGCACAAAGCACAAAACTTGTGGTGCTGACATCTGGAGCTCCAACATCATCCGCTTAAACTCAGAGAAATAAAAAGCTCTTGAAGCTCTTGCAGCATATGTTTGCAGACAGATGTCCAAGCCAATGCCATGTCAAGAAGCATGGCATTTCGAAAAACAACATTCACACAATTTATGCCGAAGATCAGCTGCTTATGAGGTGTAAAAAGTAAGGAGCAGTTGTTTTGACCCGATTAAACGAATAAATTTATGTTGACCCTGAAGTTAATCCTCCTCCTCCCTCTGCGTCACTGCCACATGCACAATCAATGTTAACTGAGTGAGAGAATTCAGAGGTTAATTTGAAAGCGGTGTTTGACTACAGTAATTATAGGCCAGTGTTTTAAAATTTTGTAATTGGAAAGACGCTCTGTGCTTTGACCAGTGGTGGAAAGAGTACTGAAAATGTACACTCAAATAAATGGAGTTAGTTGGCTTTAAATATAGTCAAATACAAGTTTACTGTTACCAAATTTGTACTTAAGTTAATGTAAAAGGTACACTTGACAATACTACTAGTTACTTGTTACTTTTTATGCAATTTTAGGATCAATGTAGATTGTGCTTTTACATACAACTTGATCAGTGTATTTAGTCATTTTAAACCATAATCCAAATATTCTTTAAGCTTTGGCCAATCAGAACAAGTGTATCATTTACATTTTGTCTGTTTGTAAATAGATATAGAGATGAGCAGAGAGTGGTGAGACATCTATGCATTTGGGACAATTGAAACAATTGTACAGTACTCAGTAACTTCTATGGTTTAAAATGAAGAAACATTCCTCAGATATACTCAGTTACAAGTACAAGTAAGGATTGAAAAATATACTCCATTGTAATTATGTGAGTATTTATAATTAGCTGCTTTCCACCCCTGGCTTTGACTTGTGTTGATTTGAAAATAGTTGCGGTAATGTAAGTTTCATACCCCATAGAGCAGCTTTAAAGAGAGGAGATGCTCAAGCTTAGTTAGTACAGTTGAGAGTAGTAGCAGCTTTAAGCGTGGATGCTAATTGAGTAGAAAGAAAAGGTGCCTCGGATGGCAGGGGAGAGGGTGCTGAAATGCTGTGCCCACCTTGGTAGTCACTGCGAGGAGGGGCTTGCCTTCTGATGACGCCTTACTGGGTATCTCCTTCAGGACCATGGCAACAGTCTTATCTGCAGACCTACAGTCTTTCCCCTACAACAGTGAAATCAACAACGACTCAATCAGGAAAGTTGGACAAACCAAAGGATTAGCCCCTCTGTAGGGTATTTTACAATATATAACACTTTATTGACTTGAGTGGATGGACATACTGTGTGACTGTCTACAGAAGTAACAGACATTTCCACAACAACACTATGGCAATGGGTCACTGTACAATGTGAAGGTGTGTACACAGGGATGACGTGCTGTTTGAGAGACACGATTACACAGAGCCATGTGTTCTGTGTATGAGCGATGTGGGACAAGTGGTGAGAAATAATGGCACGTTTAGGTCATAATTTTACATGTTAATTTTCTTTTACATTATTACCTTTATACTCAACTAAAAGTACTGTAATATTACTTAAGTAGAAGTAAAAATAGTGATCTAAGAAAAAAACTGCAAAACTACTAGACAAATAAGAGTAACTGTAAGAGTAACTGTCTGGACATAACTTCAGGACTAAACATTCAATAATGCACAACATGTTTTCAAAGGTTAGAGCAAAGAAATGGCAAAAATCAAGTCATCTGAAGGATAAACAAAACAAAAAAAATTAAATTATTTAATATTGTCAACATGAAGCTTTTGTGTCTGAAAACTACTCAGTGCAATTGTAATAAAAGTTGATTAAACATATTTGTAAAACTAACCAAGAATCTCTAAGTTAATGTCTTTGAACTATAAAAAGTATATTGTTCACATTTTTATAAGATGTTGCGTATAGTTGATTGACAAAAATACAAAATCCAGGAGTATGAATATGTGCTTCCCTGGAAAGTTGCAGTGTTTCATCAGATGGAGTAAAAATCAATATGGCTTCTATGCAGGTTTTCTTTGAATCCATGAATATCAAATATCTGATGCTTAAACTGTCATAACTTATATTGGCTGTAAAAGAATCCCGGAAAGTCTATAAAAAGTGCTCACAAACACTATTTATACTGCTCTTTCTCCAGACGCCATAAATCTTTTAAATAATGCAGTATGCAACAAACCACATTAAATGCCTACCATGAAAAGAGTCACATTTTACATACTTGGTTTCCATTTATAATACTATATTTTACACAACAAATGCTTAGTAGTCAATTACTTCAGAGTATATTCTAGTGCTAATCTCTGATAAATGAATGGGGTTGCATCAGGGCAGGGCATCTGGCATAAAGTCAATGCCAATGTATTGTTTAAATTAATCAGCAATGGGAGTACGATTATTTACTGTTGTGAGTGACCCTAGAGAGGAGCAGATTTAACTCAAGGTGAATTATGTCCTGTCCTATGCATTATACCTTCATGTACAATTTAGCATCTGTCACTGTATTAACTGTGTAGCTATTTAACTCTTTGCAAAGATGACAGAATAGGAAATCTCATTGCACCAGAGGTCATAGTGAAATGTCTATACACCCACATTGATTCAAAGGTTATCTATCTATGGATGGATTATAAAACACACATATGCTGCTTCTATGCCTTTGGGGAACATTATATTGACTTACATTCATTTCCTAAGACTAATGCTAACATTAAAGGGCCCATATTATGCTATTCTTTGAGCTATATTATAATATTGTTTCCTCATCAAGGACATACCTGGAGATGTCTTTTGTTTTATTCACACTTGTGATGTAATGTGGTAATACACCTTCACTTGAATAATTTTAATTATTTCAGCCCTGGAATTGCCAATGTGTCTTGAACGTAAGTTAAAAGGTAGTAGCTGTTAACATGAAAACTACCACTTCATGACAACCCAAGGTGGAACAGAGCATTTTGATCTTTGGAGGTATATAGAGAGACGAATAAACCAAGATTAGTCAAACATGTATGAATGAAATAAAATATGACTCCATGTAAGATTTTGAGGAAGCAAAAACATTCTAACATGCCTTAAAGCTCACAGGAATCCATTTTACGTAATGTAGGACATTTAACTATAGTTACAACTTGCATAACCTAAACCTTAAATAACCCATATATGAACTTTAAATCCTATCGTTAATCTAAAAATAATTAAGGATTTATATTATAGGAACCTGATTTTAATCCTCATAAGGGCAGCAAGCCAAGGATGGAGATTTTAGTCCCCACAATGTGCTGAAAACATTAGTACATTAGACTACACATCTCATCCACAAAAAAAGTTTCCGGGCTAAAATTACTGCTCATTTGTGTTGACGGAAATGACCACAAGGTGTGTCGAAAAACCCTTTCTTGTCAGTCCGGCTGTTAGCACTTTTCACCATGTCTATTATCTACTACCGTCAGGTCTTGTGTTTGTGCTGTACCTTGAGGGAGCCTAATCTTGAAAGCCTAATGCCATTAATAGAGTCTTCTCAGCCACCTGCGTTCACTTTCCTGCTTTCACTCTCTCTATTTAAATGAACATCTGTGAGAATATCTGGCTGGCAGAGTGGCGGTTACAAAGCCAGGGATAATTTAGAAATGCTTCCAACAAACCGCAACATAAGTTTTTTTGTTTTTTTTTCACTGAATGACAGATGATGCTATTTCAAATGGGCTGCTCTGTAGTGCCAGTAGTGAGATAATATCTACCTCCCACCATTCAGTTTATATTGGCTTACACATTTGGAAAGCTTTTGTTGTTGGGTTTTTCAGTATTTGTGAAACTGGCTCCTCTTTCCCAGTAAATTAACAGTCGTCAGTTTCCAGGCATTGTTTACAGCTTTTCAACACAGGGATTTTAGCTTATGAGGATGCACATTATACCCTATGGTGGAGTTATAATAGGGAGACAACATGATTCATCACACAGGAAGCAATGCAATCTATTCCACTGAGACCTTTTCTTTTTGTTTAGCATTTTCTCGCACATAAAAACATTTAAGTTTAACATAACTTCATCATTCAGTTAAAAAACAAACAAACAAACAAACAAACAAAAAAAAAAAACCCACACTCTCTAAAACAGGTATGTATTGTTACCATTTTGAATCATGAATACGAAAGCATAACATCCACATACAAACAAAACACCTGGCCACTGTGGGATTTCAGCGGAAAATTAATTGGGTAATTGGGAAAGCAGCAAAGATTCTAAGAAGTGTTACATAAGCTCAGTTCATATTGTTTTCAGAGAATATAAAAGTTCTGTGCCTCCAGACTAAGGACTACATTAACCACAATGAGTCATAGTTTATGCAGGAAATAGTTTCATAAGATTTAAAAATATGTAATATAGATCTGAATATGGAAAACATGAGTGACAGTAGCTCAGTTGGTCAAGTGTTTGTCCACTGATCTGATGGTTGGTGGTTTGAATCCTGTTATTGACATAAAGCATCATTAGTACAGTCAAATCTATTGACCCACAGGTTGGCAGTACAATTCCAGCTCCCTGACATGGGTGAGTGTAAAGCACTATATAAAAATGTTACCATTTACCATTAGTATCCTAATAAAATTATTAAAAAATGCCCAAAACTCTCCATTCTATAAAAATATTCAGATTATGGCAATATCAAATCCCATGTCATCCTTATTAAAATGTATATTGAATTTTAAGTTGCAGAGACCAAGTCTTTAGGTATAGAGTTTTTCACAGGATATATATTAAAGTCAATAGTGCCTTCTCAATTTAATGCTGGGAATAAGCTGAACTAATACTTTAAAATAGAGATGAATTATATTGTGAGAGGATTTCTGAGCTGTGCAGCTTCTATGCTTCATCTCTTGCATTTATTACATTATTTTACGTAGACATGACTGAGTCCTCAAGGAATACATTTGGTCGATTTTGTTAAGACATTTTAGTTTACAACAACACTAATCATATCCTGGGGCACCACTCAGAACAATAAAATGCCTTCTCTTTCCTTCAGGACACATTATCGCCTGCTTGAGTTCACTTGAGTGCTGCACTTTGAAAAATGTGACATTAAACCATTGCCAGTCTAATAAACATGTCCAGTTTGCAGACATGATCTAACTCTCCTATTCAACCAACCAAAGACACTGTCAAGATTATTCTTGTCCAGAGTATTACACCCCGTGACAAATTTGTGTTTCTAATAGTTTATGTCTCTTCTTCACAGACTTGTTTTCTGTATGACTGAAGAGCCATTCAGGCCACTGGACTAATTAATGGCACAGATTTAAGTCATCTCAAGTGTTCAAACAACTGTATCTAATGAAGCATAAGTTACACTTTACCAGAGACCCACAAGCAAGCTGAAGTTATTTTCATTTATCGCCTCATTTACCCAAAACAATATTTAGTGTTTGAAAAATGATAGTAAACAGTCCATATATATGTGTATGCAAGCACCGAAGGCTCAGTAGCTGCCTTTTTGTTTCATGTGAAATTTAGCCATACTGTTATTAAAGGTGCACAATGTATTTTCTGGTGGAAGGAGGTAGAACATCTGGAATGTTCCATGTTATGGCATTAAAATTATCTATCTCCACACATGCTGGAGCAAGTGATGCCACCAGGACTGAGTTATAGGTCTAATCTGTGGAAAGATTGACCCCACTCACAGCATGAATGCAAGTTTTTCCAAGACATTTAGCAGTAAAAACACCCAAACAAATGCAAGATAGCTGTTAAATGTATAGTGTGGAACATTCCAGGCAAAGCGAAGCATCTCTATGGAAACAACAAGACGGACCCTCCACCAGAAAAGTTCCACAGCGCACAATAAAACTGCCCTGTTTTGCTTGGACTGCATTGTTAAATAGGTCTAACAGTGTTTGCCTGTTTGATATCTGCCATCACCCAGCGCTCACAGCGTGTTATGGACTTAAGCCCTGCTGAAGCTGGAAATCCTCAAGTCAACAAAAGGGGTTTGAGGCGATTTGTTCAAAGCCGTGGTGTGGTGCTTTTTCTGCACCTGTAGCAGTTCTGAGCCACAGGGCATGTTCACTAAGCTCCTATACGCACACATTTCCTATATATTTGATTTAATGTGGTATTGAAATTGGTTTCAGGCCTTTCCTTAGGATGTGCCAGATGTGATGAGGTCAG